AAGTACTTTCTTAACAACAGAGAATAAAATAGCTAAATTGGATATGCAGTTGAGATTATAAATATCCTATTAGCATATAAAATGAGGATTAACCTTATTTAATCACTGCATGCTTGATCATCAAAAGTCATGTTTCACCTCCATAATGTAGCTGTATCTGTTCTGAAAAAAGTGCATATTAATAAATTTAGCTAACTAGATGCTCCTTTCATCTAGTCAACTGAGCTGGCCACCCCCAGTCACTTAGCTAAATAAAAATTCTATCACTCATTTTATGTGTGGTTTAAGCTAATTTCCAGGCAAGACATCACAGGGGTTGAAAAGATGCTCCAGGTGTTGTGATGTTCCAGGCCTGGTCCATCTCAGTGAGCACTGGCCCATGTAGGCTGGCTGGACTCATTTAGTTTCTGTGGGACCTTGGGGAGATGCTGTATCTCAGGGAGGGTGTAAGGAAATGTGTCTACTGCAATTCTATCAGGGCTGTAATGTGCATCCTGCCTGGCACGCAAATATGGTGCACTGATGGCTACTTCCTCATATTCTTTAAAAGCGCATAGTTTCATCACTGCTGTCAATAGGCAATACCACTTTTGCTCAGGAAAGTAAGTGGCTTGCACTTGTGACAGGCTCCTCTTCCCTCAATTTTACACACTTAGGGAAGAGGTTGGGAACAATCTAGCCCCTAGTAAGCATCTGTGAAAATAAATCAGATTTATTCTCTATCACTTGCCTGACAGCAGGCCTGACATTTCTGTGATTATAAATGAAATAAATGTAGACACTAAAGGAATTTACTCCAATGGAGAGAGTGCCTGTACCTCTGTATTACTAAGTCCTACTTGAGCTCAACAGGCCTTGTGCAGGTGTGAATTTTGCCCAAGGTACAATTCTGCTCTTAAATCTGGGAGAAAGTTACAGTGAAGATCCATGTTAATTTAATCTCAGTGACTTTTGCATCAAGTTGGCTTGGTTTAGCCACTTTTTCCAATTGCCAACCTTGCAAAATCCATTTGGAATTTGAAAGAATTTGGATTTTCTCTTCCTTTTACATGACAGAGACTCCAGAGGCCTGACTCTGGCCCTAAATCTTTTTTTGTTAAATATTAAATGAATTCAGTCTGCAGCAAAGAAAGAGTGCTTTTTGCTTTGGTCTTTAAGATTATTATTTTAAAAACATTTTGGTAGGCAAGGTAGAGCTAGCAAAGCATATTAAGGAACGATTCCTACAGAACAACATATACTTATTTATCAGATTTGGGTACCTGTTTCTTAACATAGTTAGATAGAAATATCTGTGTGTATGTATGTACGTATGTGTTTAGCTAGCTAGCTAGTGGAGAAATAATTAGAACCCGGGGAATACTGCAAACATGTTTCCATAAAATATTTGCATACTTAGATACAAACTAAAATCAGAATGAGCCTGCTTGGGCCCCTGTTGTGTTCCCTTTCCATGAACATCCATGTAAGTTTTACCAACAGAAAATCTAATGTCTGATTATTTGCAGACGCGGAATTTAAAATGTGCTTATTCAGGTATTCTCACTGGAAGTGCTTGTGTAATGACTACCCTCATGGGGCATGAACTTGGGACCCCTAGCACTAAAAGCATGAGTCAAACAGTTGATAGCTGCAATAGACTTCTGTCTTCTTGGAGTCAGTGGCTAGATTGGGACACTTAACATGGAGGACAGTGGGTTACATTGGCACCATTTAGGCTGTGAGGGAACAGAAACCATACCATATGACTTGTTTGACCAATGACTAATAGTTCAAGCAAGGTCCAGTCCAATTCCCATTTAAGTCACTGGGAAGTTGGACTGCACAGTTAGGTGAACTTTACCCTCTCTAGAAATAAAGTGTGAGAGTCCTGAGTAGATTTTTAAGTCCTACATTAGCACTGTTTTGAGTCTTATGTGAGCCTTTGGCCTAGAGATGAATGCCATCCCTAGCGAACAGTCCAAGAGCTAGTCACAAATGAGCCATAACATTGAAAGTTGGCAGAAATGTCTTCTGATCAACTTTTAAAATGATAAAAATAGTTTTCTGTTCATAGATGTTCTACAAACAGGAAAAACCGGCTATGTTAGGTAGGGAAAGCTCTTCTCTGTGAATTGTTCACTCGGGGCCACATTTGAGAAGTGCATAGATGGTCCTGGTGCTGTGTACAAGTGTGATTTCCACACTCACGGATAGAAATGCTTGTAGACCTCATTTAAGAGCTAGCAGTCACAAAGAAATTTACAATAAGAAGTAGCAAGACACTGTGGGCAAGATGCACAGTTGCCAAGTCTTGTGAAATTTACCATTTTCCTTTTAGCTACAGTTCCTGGACTGAAGTGTTTGTGAGAATTTCAGTCACCTTCCTTTCCCTTCTGGCATTACAAAAGAGTTTGAAAGCATGCTATAATTTCACCCTTAGGCTTAGGAGCTATATTTACTTATTTATTAGTTTAGAAACCTCTCCTGATTGTGTTAAGCCACTCAGGCATGATTTAATTTTTTGATGGCTGATTCATGGGTTTTGAATGCTTGGGCTTGGCAATATGGCTGATCAATAGCATTTACCTTTGCACACACCTACTGGAGTCTGAGGGAGATTAAACAAGTTCTCTAGGCTCAGGCCCAAAGCTAGATTTGTTGTGATAAAGGCCAAATAAATCCTTCTCCCCTCCTTTTTTTGGTTTAGAGTTTGCTTAAAGATTTAATAGTTTTTTATCCTTTACTCTGAAGAAAAGCTTATAGTGACAGAAGCATAAACATACATTTAAACATGGACAATTACAGCTATTAGAGATGTAGGTCCTTAGTTGGGCACTTTTCAAAAATACCACTCACAGGAACTCCTTTTTGTGGCTTATGATACCTCCTTATTTGTGGCCTGCTTGCCACTTTCCCCCTCCTTTAGTTTTGGTCCTTAGAAATCACATTCGCTAAAACCTTTAGAGAAACCCTAAAGGCAAATTGAAAGTGACTGGGAATAAAATAGACTTTGCCACTTGGAGGGATTTGAGGTGTTGTACTGTCAGAGAGGTCTGTGGGTAAAGTGACTGAATCCAGAAACGTATGGAGAACGGAAAGGGCTGTGGGTGATCACATCAAAAACGTGAAATAAAGTCAGCTGCCCACATCAGAAATGTAAGTCCAGGGACACTGGTTTAAAGAAACTAAAGGAAATATAAAGGCGAATGTGAATCAGCTCTCTAATCTTCAAAAATAGGCCTAAAGCAGGGGATTGTTCTTTCAGATTGGATTTTTAAAATCACTTTCCTTTCATTTCAATTTGGTTCAATCTTGAAATCACCATCATTGATATAAGCATAGAAAATTTGCTTATGGGATTCCAGTCTCAGTTTACCTGAGTAAACCCTCATTCCAGTGTCGTGGCTTTGAGTTTGTTCCCGTGCAACTGGAATGAGAGCCTTTCCCATAGTTTCCTTCCTACCCTTGATGCAGCACACTCCATGTTAATGATAGCTCTTCTTGTTTTGTCAAGTGGTCCAAAAAGTTAAAACCAAACAATGTCCAACTGAAAAAGCCCGCTTCTCACCAGTTGTTAATTCACAGCACAGGGATTAGAAAAATAAAATGATGAATGCCACAGGATGTTGGGTTTAATTCTGGCCTCTCAACAATGGCAGCATCCCATGAAACAGAATTCACAAGAGCTCAGTTCCTCCTTAGGCAAATTGAAGTGGCTGGATACTCAAAAGTACTCAGCACCCAACAGCTCACAGCGAAAAACTTACTTCCTTAGTTTCTTTGGACTAAAACGCTGAGAACAACTGAAGCTGTTAGGTGCTGAGCTCTCTGGATAATCAGACACTTTTTTCAGCCTCTGCCCTAAATAAGAGTTGAACTGTTTTTGAAAATTAGACCCCAGTGACCAGTGCAGGTCACTTTTTGAAAACCTGCTTAATAATTTTTCAGCATTAGCTTACATAGCAATTTAGCCTCACCTCGGAATTGTTACATTATGGGTAAATGGTCTAGATGTGACACGGGATCATTTTAACTTCAGAAAGACAGGAGACAATTCTCTTGGAATAAAAAAGGTCTTTATTGACAAGATCAAAGGAACATGAAGAGGAGAACTGACTTTCAGTGAAACAAGAGCAGTGAACATCTTTCTATGTCCTTATTGTAATTCATTGCTTGTTTTCAAGACCCATAATACAATTCTTCCATAACAGGAAGAGGACTTTGTTAAATTGTAAATGAGTATTACTTCAAGCACTCTGTGGAAATATGTTCTCCCCCTATGGCCCATACATTATTTCTGCTTAGTTATGGTTGCTCACATTTCCTGGAACTATCGCACAAGGCTTAATTCTCCTCACACAACATCACTTTAAAATTGTGAAGCTCTCTTAATCAACCTTTGTATCAGCCACAAATTTGCAGTATGACCTAATTTGAAAAATGTCTCAAAGTGCTGACTCAAACTGTTAGTGAATAAAGGCCAGTCATTACCATTATGACACTAATGTGATGCAAAATAAAATTGAGTTGCATCAGCTGAACATTAGTTTGCAAAAATATTAGTGATGGAAGCCATTTTCTATTCATATTTTATTTATACTTATGAGATTTATACTTTTTTGGTCTGAAGCAGCTCTGCAACAAAAATCCTGAGTGGAGGCACGAAGAAACATTTTAATCATGAAAAATCTCAGTCAGAAATATACATCTAAGCTGCATCACTTGCACCTTAGAATATTCTCTCATTTATAAAGTGGAAGACAGGCATGTAGTTTGAGAACTTTTAGTAAACTATTTACATAGTAACATATTAAAATTCTCACACTAATGTGTCATTTTATTTTGCATCTTTAGGTTACATTCCAAGTGTTTTCTTCTTTCATCTCTAATTGGAACAGGACTGATGCTAACTTCATTTGCTGTATATATAACTATTTTCAACTTACCAAAAATTATTCCATCATAAAAAATAGTGAATTTTGAGGGGAAAAAAACGTTGAAGGGTCTTTTTAAGGGGAAAGGGGAAAAGCATCCTAAATTCTCAAAAAATTTGGGTGTATTATTCAGCCTCCTTTAGCTGAGATTTTATGCATCTTTAACTTTTTTTCACCCATTTGCTTAGCTTTGTGGAATTTTTTTTTAGGCATGATAACCTGACTCTATGCTTATGACATGAACACTATAGTTGGTTTGTCAAATATCGGCTGATAATTAGCACTCAGACTGGTTTGTTTTAGACTCAGAGGTCTAGGGATAGAACAATTCAGCAACAACCATTCGCTTTTGTGGCTTTTTAATCTTGAAATGCCAATAATAAAAATTGTCTAACGTGTACTGATAATATATCCATGACTTCATACTGAAGCAGTTCAAAACCAGATGCACACAGCTAGGAAGACAGGCCATTAATTTAAAATTTAGAGGACCAATAAGTTTTTGATAGCAATGGGTTACTGTGCTAATGATTATTTAACTTGCTGCATGTTGGGTTAAGTATGTATGGCTATGTAAAGTGTAGTGCTTTATCGAAGTGCTATAGTGTGATTATAGCTACTGAAATGTTATAGTCAAGCCAGGAAAAAGCAGCAAGATTATAAAGCCCAGTTACTATAATATAGCACAATTCATTCAGTTGTGAAAATAAAACTACTACAGTGCTGAGAAATTTTGCTCCTGTGGTATAAAAATCACTGGCTCAGTCTGTTATTTTAGCTTGTGTTTGTAGCGGTAGGCACAGAGAAGTGTGCCTTGTTGATATTTTACTTTTCTTTTATTGGATGTATGTTTTAATAGTAAGATGCTTTGGTTTAAAAAATATTTTAAAAAATCTGCACATTTGGTTTAATAAAGCCAATAATCATTTTTCAGGACTAATGCCATTGGTTTAAGGTCAACAAAAGACAAGGCAATAGAAGCAAAAAGGTAAGAGTGGCAATGAGTGGTTGATGTTTATAAATTATTTGCAGGCTTTTTTTTTTTTTTTAACACTTTTTCATTCTTGCAGTACCATATGATTTAAAAAAATATAATCTGGGATTGCATCCCCGTTTCAAGTTCTAAGTAGTTTGTGCAGTGTGTTCCTAAAATGCAATGCATGCAAACTGCCATTCATTAATACTTTGTGTCCTTGATCCATCTTGGAAGGATGTTGGTTACAATTCTCTAAACCATTTAATTGTTGCTTTATCATCCTTCCCCAACAGGCAGTGGCTTAAGCTTGCTGAAATTCTGAAAAAAAATACAAAATATAATCAATATATGAAAATAAATTAAAAAAAAAAAGAGAGGCAAAAACATGCAATGAAAATTTATGACCTTAACATTCCTTCAGGGTCAAGCAATTTATCAAATTCTCTCACTTTCTGGTTTCAATTACACAGCTATTGTGGAAGGAACTTATTTTAGCAGGTTCATTTGCCTCAGTAGGGAATACAGGACTTTGGCCTAATGCTTCACCTTTAGTGCAGGCCATTTGAGCCTTAGAACAAATACCAATCATCACTCTTTGGAAAAAAAAATCTGCATTGGAGTGGCCTATTGGAATGGGGTTTCTGTCAAGGTAAACGGTTGTCGGCAATGACTGTGGTAGAGTGGTGATAAATCCCATTTTATTGCTGAAAAATTCCAGCTTCTCTCCATGCCTGACAGCTCCCCACATTCTCGTACCCATTTGGGCAATTTCTGCACTATGTCCATCTGGTTCTTATTACCTCTCAACCTGCCAGTGTCTGATCCAGAAAAAGTGCAGGTCAAAAACAGGGGAAAGAAACCAAGGTGATGGACAAAACAGAAATAGAGTGATTGAGAGACCTACCCCTCTCCCCCTTCTCCCTCCCCCTCCCACCCAAAAAAAGTACAACAGCCATAACAAAAGTGCTAGGGAGGTTTCTAGCACAACCAGAAGGTTGCCGGAAACTCGCTTAAATATAGAATTAAATGGTAGCAATAAACACAAGGTTTTAGTAGCCTAAATGGAACACAGTCTTTGATATCTATCCAGGACATTAATGACACCTGCCTAAATAAAACTGGGTTGGGGGGTGGGGAAAATCGGTTTCAGGTCCCTTAATTAACTAGTACTTGTGGTACTAGTTCTCAACGTCTCCAGGGCTAGCAGTGGATTTTCAGGAGATTAAATTAACAGTCCAGGATTCACCTGAAGATGAAAGTCATTGCATATGGTCAGCTGGATACAAATAAAATTTTGAAAAAAAATCTAAAATATTGATGATTTTAAAGGGGAAAAAAAAAAAGATTTCAGACACAAGTTTTGCATTCTGCTACCTTAAACCTTTTTTGCATATTTTAGTTTTCCACATAGCTTGAATCTATAATAGAAGCATTTGGCCATTTTCATAATTAAAAATAACAGCTGAGCTATTATTGGGAAATTAGCTATGGCTTTCCATTCCCCGGTCCTCATCCCAGTCAAATAAAACAGCTTCCCTGTGAATTATGTGATATTTTGTAAGGGGTCCATAAATGCCATTGGAAAAATTGTCCTGATCCATGATGTCAAAAATCCTTTTTAAAAGCATTTGGTGCTTTATTTACAAATTATATTTAAATTAACATTAATCCTGGTACTATATGCCCAGCATATACCCAGTACTCTGAGCATGTGCTTTCCTGAATATAAAAATGCAAGAAAATTAAAGTATAAATCTATAGTAGTTCCCACTAATACCAAGGATCTGAGTTAACCACCAAGAGCAAGGAAATCCAGAGTGAGGGTTACAAATCTGCCTTTAATGCATCCCTTTGGTCCTTGGTGTTACAAGTGTCTCCAAACACCCAGACGTGGTTCTCTCACATGGGCTGGAATTCATAGGTAGGTATAATGGGCTCAGTTACTCTCTTGTGGCCAGGGATTGGGTGTTACATTACTAAATATTCCCGCACAAATGGTAGGAACTTGGAACCTGTTGGCTTCCAGAAGTTAACGATGAGCTTCAACATTAAAACAGCTTCAAGAGCCTGAGAATATATTTATTAAAGAAGGAGACTCATGACAAGTAAATGAACATGTTTGAAGTGACAGCACATAAGCTTTCTGGTATAGAAGCAAGGCTGCTAGTGTTACTTGCAGTACAAAATGGATCAGAAACAAAGCTGGAAACGCAACCTTTTATTTCAGAACAAGCCCTTTAATCATTACATATTCTTGAAAAATACAAAATCTAGTTGACCATTAATGTTTAACATCATGTTAGTTACTGGGGCATCTAGTAAAAAAAATAATTTTCATTTTATAAGTTACATTCTTGAAAGGAAAAAAGCTTCAGGACTGTTTGGGGCTGTTAGTAATTATATCAGAGAAACTTGAATGCTTAAACTGAAATGAATATTTGTTTGCATTTGTAATGCAGTAAAGAATTAGTTGATGACTGCTCACTAAAATATGTTTCCCACTGGTCCAAGTCCTACTTTGTACTGAGAAAAATTAATGTCTAATCATATGAAAATGTTACAAGATGGTTTAAGACACATAAGAAAAAAGTATTTGGCATGCATTTTTCTTTCCAAACAATATTTTGTATTTTTATCTTGTATACATATTTAAAACACAGAGATCCATAATAGGAAAGACCAAACTTCAACAATAAAAATATTTCAGCATCAAAATGGTTAATAGTGAGTATTATAGCTTCAAAAGAGCCTATTGGCTAACCTTAAAGGATGCCCTGCAATTGTTAAACTCATCAGATGAAACTACCTTTCTCAGCTAGCCCTTACATTTGTCTGGCTAACAGTAAAAATACTACAATAAATCGGTAACATATGTTTCCAGACAAGAATAAGTGATATAAATAAAGAGTCAAGAGACATAGCCCCTCAAGAACAATGTGAAAGATTTAAACTTTCAATGTATTAATTAATCGATTAACATGTTAGAAGTAACTGGAGAGTGTTATTTTGTTGTTTGTTAATATCATTCCTTATTTTTCTCTTCTTCTCTTCAGATTGCATTTTAAATCAAAATGTTCTCCGTGACTGCCTGCTTTGCAGCATTAGGGTAAGTCCCATTTTTCCACACCTTAAAAAATATGCCTGAGAAGTCTCTGCCAGAAAGACATTTTGTTGATTTTATGTTTTATGAAATAAACACAATGTTATTGAAAAGAGAACCTTTTTTTTCAAGTGGATGAGTATGTGAAATTGTGCATTTGCAACAAAGCTGCCATCAAGAAAACCAACTCTTCTATGGAAATGACAAGTCTCACAACTCATAATAAATTATTATCAGCAGCATTTAAAATATAGAAAACAAAATCTGCTTTGAAAATAGAATGCTTTTTTTATTTTGCTTTTTTATTGAGACAACCTTTGAAAAATGACATAATATAAATAGTTTTACAAAGCAACAATATAATCAATCTCTAAACTAGAATATAAATCAAGGATTTCATTAACTGCTGGTAGCCAGTTTAAATTGTAGTCTTGTACGTAATGTCTATCTATCTATGTATGTCCAAGTTATATTAAAAACCTTTAAATGGCTTTGTAATATCAGCTACATCTAGCTATTATAATAATTAATGATACTGTTTTATAAATCAATATATGTATTCTTGATAAATTCATATCCAGTTAATGGTGTAATTTAAATAAAAAATTAATGCAATAAAGGACATACAGGAATAGGCAGGAAATCTTTAAAGGTTAAGAAGCAAATTTGTCTAAATTCTTTTTTTTGGTACCTGTTTTTGAAAAAGTGCACACTCAAATTCAACTGATATCATCCTTGATCCTATCATCACAATAATCCCATTATTTTTTACTTATCTATATTCATTATGTTTTTTCAGTGCAGTGCAAGAACGGATCTTGCATTTAAAATAAGTAGTTTTATCATAATTTCCGATTTTTCTGCAAAACTAACATCAGATTCGCAGTCAGCAATCCCAACATGTGACCAGAAAAAAAAATGGTAAATGCTGTCTGTCTTAATATTTTCTCCATTAACTACTCATTCCTTAATTGTGTTACTACATGGTTATTTTACTTCTACAATGCAGTGCCAATAAAAAGGAAAACATAGTTCCAAGCATAAATGTATTTACAGTACTGTGTAAACCTTGAAGAATGTTTTAAAGTAATAAAAATCTGTTCCTTATCTCTTGTTTTAAATACAGCTAATCCAGTTTGTTCAGAAAGCACATGCAAAAGTGAATTAAAAAACAAAACAAAACAAGAAAGGGCAACTGGAAACTGCTTTTTTATTTCTAGATTGCACATGGATGTGAAAATGTATCTCAGTTTCTTTTGTTTTCTTTTATAATCTGTAACTGCAAAATACATCTTAAATAATAACACAGGATTAACTGGCAATTTATTAATTGTTCCTAACATCAATTGTAATCTTACATGTTTAAAACAAAGCCCCTCAGCCTGTTTATATGTTGAATGTTTTATGAAGAATACCTTTTGAAATTATGCAAAACACTGAGCTTTGCTATCCACACTGACATGGTGCAGAAATGTCATTTTAATCCATTGCGATTTTTTTTGACATTTTTCTTAACATTGCTCTGCCTTATTTAGAACAGCAACAGTGATCTGTGCAGTTTCTTTTGACACTGATGGGTATTTAAAAATGTTACATGGAAGATAAAAAAAAGAAATTGCTGCCAGTCACTTGAGCAATTCAGCTACACAAGGAACTGCTATTTGCTAAAAGTTTACATTTCAAATTAGCCTGTATTTAAAGATGGGAGAAACAAGAGAGTACAATTATTATTGCATGTTAAACTGTACTGGAATACTGTAAAATATCCATTTTAAAATGTATTTTGTTTTCAGATGGAACCAGAAGCAAGAGATACATACCCATTCCTAGGAGGCTTAATTTAAACTTTAAAGGAAAAACATAAACAGCAAGGTTCACGTAACACACTGAAATATGTTACACATTTTAAATAGCTTCATTTTAAAATGCGTGTTATTTTTTCTCTTGGGATCACTTACATGACTCTTCCCTAGACAAAGCAGGGACATGTTACATTCTTAAAAATTATCTGCAATAGAGATCACATTCCTAGGCATGTTTGAGTCTTTTTATTACTAAGGATAACCTCTTAATGGCATCACGATTTTCTACTTGTTAAGTGGACATCTTCAGAATATTTAACCACAAACAAAGCAACTTCATTTGGAGGAAAAATGGTTTGGAATGATGAGAAACATAAGTTTTTATCTACTGCCACACTAGCATATCAATTATTCAAGCCCTACTAAATTTAGTTGTCTGCTTTTAAAACATTGTTTGCACTTGCTTCATGGAAAGATCAAAGTATCTGATAATTTTGCCTAAATTATTTGTTTTCACAGTATAGCTATGAAGGAAACATTTTATTTGTCTGTGTTATGTTCACATTTGAGTCAAATTCAGCAGATTTATTCCATGCATACAATATTCCTCAACAGTGATTCGAACTGACTTCTTATTAGAACATGCATCAATGTAAATAAATGTATGACTCAGCTATGTAGAATATGCTATCATCTGCAGATATTTATGTAGACAAAACCACATTGTTACAGCCAATAAAATTATGCAATAGTGACTTGTTTGGAGGTTTTGCTGATCAGATAATGACTAGCTAAAGGACTGAAGGGCCTAGGGCAGAACTGAAGGTGCTTAATGCTCTAGCTGGTTATTACCTGACTGGTAAAGTCCAATAAGGAAGTAATTATTGCTGCTATAAAATGATATGTGAAAGATCTAGTGCTAATGATTTTTTGTATTTGGTAGGACATGAAGGTTTCAGCATGAAACTATATTCTTAACATTATTACAGTGTTTTTAACAAATGAACACTTCCTTGGGTTGATCTAATGACTGTGCTGTAAAGGTGAAAAAACCTGCATTTCTCAGTCACGGCAGGATTTCATTGGCAGAAAGGTACTGTCAGGTATGGACTTCCTCTCTGCGCATCCAAATCATATGTTTTGTTCTCTAAAAGCTACAAACTCCAACAAACATCACTGTCTCTTCATTTCCTCTGAAACCTTGTTATCACTAATCCTGTCTGGTTGAAAACAAATTTCACTTATTTTATTAGACACTGAAGTTCATTCTCTAAAGGAAATAGGTAAAATCATTCAGGTTCTGTTGTAATATGCCATAGCACACAAGCGTAGAGCTCCATGGCTAACCTGGAGAGGCAGAGGTATGCCTTTCTGCTCTACTATTTAATGTGAACATTGTCTATTTTTTGAATATCTGACTTTTTAAAATCATTTTGCGCTCAAGTGAAATGTGAGGACAAGACAGAAGAACAACGTCAAGACAAATCAGCCATTTTTTCTTTATCCTAGCTCAAGTCAATGCAACTGTTGAGCAACTACCGACTGCAGGTATAATTTTTAAAACAGGTTAGAATAATAGAAAGTGAACTGCCTAAGCCTTGGATTATGTTTTTTTCCCCATGTAAAGAACATAGATACCCAGGGTGGTATGAAATGTCTTCCAATTTTACTACTCTTGCATAAAGCCAGGCAATTTGAGGGGGGGGGGGGGGGCCCCAAAAAAAAAAAGGGTTTTTAAGGGTATTTTTTTTTTTTGTAAAACCCCCCCACA